ACTCAAAGTATCCTTTTGCACGCCGATGTTCACGGTTGATCGCGATTTTGGTCGTCAATCATCTCCTTGTCGCTGCTACTCGATCGGCTGCGCGTCTGACTTCGATCCCGACTACGGCTCTGATGTCTGGACGGAGTCTGGTTGTCGGTATTCTTGTACAAATAAGTCATGTCCTTTCGGAGATTCTCCACCGGGGAATTCCTCAAGGTGTCTTCCGTGTGCTTCCTGGACGAACACTTACATGTCCTGATTGCGAGGGACCTTGTCCTAAGCGGAGGACTTGGGGTCCTTCCTCTGCTTCCCCTCCTCCCCCTCCTTCTTCCTCTCCTCCTTCCTCTTCTGCGTCCCCTTCCTCTCCCTCGGCGACTGACTCTCCTCCTTCTTCGCCTTCGCGATACCGGACGGCCACGTCGTCGCCTCCTTCGCCTCCTTCCTCTCCGTCCTCTCCTAGCTTGCTCCAAGGGCGCCACGGTATGCGCTTTGTACATCATGTCAGGATCCGTATTCAGGCTATAATAACCACGGTCTCTCTTCAGAATACCGTACTCCAAGCCACGTTTCAAAGCAGTGTATATCTGCGAAAAGAAAAATGTTCTTTGTATGTTTTCATTTGCATTTGTTAACCTATAATTTCTAGTAAAATTTTTCTAGTAAAAGTTTTTTTAAATATAATATAAAATTGAACATTCTTTTCGATACTTTTTAAAATTAAGGAAATATAAAATAATCGAGTTTTTTTAAATATCAATTTATTAATATTAATATTAATTTATGCTACATATTAATTATTTTTATGATAAAAATGAGAAACCTAATATTTTGATAAGAGAAACGTATATATAAACGGTATATTTAACAATATATTTGTATATAAGAAAATGAATTGTATTGATTAATTATGTTGAATAAATTATTAATTATCAATTACCTGCTTCTGTATGTTGGCATCCGATCCGGTGTATTGAGACTTAATGTAATTCATGATTTCCTTCGACGTGGAACCGCGAATTTCTCGCAGATTGCGAATAGCGGAGGCCACTAAGGCCGACATCTTTGGCTTCGTCATACTTCGCCTTTTCTTGCCTTCTCTGTTCTACGAAGATAGTCCAGGATGCTGCTATGTGTCGTCTCATGAGCAGTTCTCGCCACGATTTCAGAGGTCAGATGCAAAGAGCTCGGAGAGGTCGAGGATCGCAAGATGATCGTCGCCGACGTTAATTTCGCAAATCCGCTTATTATCTGGCGCGTTCCGCGATGATGTACGATTCTTGAATAGTCGCGGTGGCTCCTTTGCGACTTCCCGAAATGTGTGACGATGCTAAGATAACTTGGACTTGGTAAACGCGTATACTTGAAGGCGGCACATTTGAGCCGGCACAAATAATCACTAAGAAGATTTAATAACCGATAAAAATCGGTTGTATCAGAATGCCGAATATAATTTTGGAAAGAGAGGATGGAATATGTTGCTCGTCAATGGCCTGTCCGGAGATAACTGAGCTGTTGTTATTGATGCGCTATTTTCTCCGACATGCGTTGCTAGGATGAGGACACGGGATCTAGATTCGGATCGCTCAAGAAGTGAAGATCTCCAGATGATATCGAAATTTTATTCAAATCGTAATCGAACATGACACGTATATGGATATAATTCGTAGCATAAATTTTACATTTTAGAGAGATTAATATTAGCATAAGAAGAGTGAATATGCATGAAAAGATATTTTGTATTTTTACTTTTTTAATTTCTTTTATTTGACATGGGATTATGAAAATTTAATATATCACTATTTCTCACATTATATATAATGCATATTATGCATTAAAATTTGGGAATGTGGATCGGTGCGTGTAAGAAGATTAAAGATTTGTAGATTAATTGTTAGATTATAAAATAAGTGATCGCTTTATTGCTTAAAATTCACAAGTGCGATTTGTCGTGGCGCGTTTAAACTAGTCGGAATCTCGAAATCGAATGTGTCGATTTCGAACCTTCCTCTCTCAAGATCCGGTTGTCCGGATAACATTTTGTTCGAGACGTTTCTATTAGTGTCAATATTTTTCACAATGTTATTATTCTAGATACGTTACAATTTGAATGTTTCAGATTATTAATTATAATTATTAACGAAATTGGGAATTATTTCCTTGCCCGATTGCCGGCATCAATTAAACCAGACAGTGTATTCTGCATGCCGAGAAATTCGGAAGGATGCACGCAGACACTCAATCTCTCAGCGCGAAATCATTAAGCGAAATCTCTATTTAGAAAAAGTAGAAACGATCATTATACTTGTCTGACGATTCCGCGTAAATATCTAACGGCTCCGAGTATCTTAGCTACGTGTGCGTGTATTCGTGTGCCTATCTAATGACATTGCATGTTCGGTTTTAAGAATCGTGTCGATATATATATATATTAATATATTTTAATATAATAATGAAAATATATTAATAGTGCCAATGAAAGAGTTTAAAATAAATTCAATAATTTAGAAACAAACTTATCGACAATAAGAAGATAATTCGCATAATAAGTTAAAGTACTGATAAGTTAAAGTCGATGTCAATCATTGAATAGCCTCGTTTTTGTTCTTTATCGCTCATTTCATATTCCTCGGGCTCGCGGTATCCTTTTTTACATTACCCGCATAATTAACCTCGTCGTCGCGCATGCATTGCGATATGCAGGTAGCGTAAGTACCACCGGCCGAGTAAATATCGTGTCACGTAACCGAGATGAACCGCTCCCATTGAAGGCACTTTAATTAATATGCTCGTTTTAATGCTTATAACATCCCGGCACGCATAATCAAGAAAAATAAGGCTCGATCGATTATCGGCGATGTGTCGGCCGACGATGTGATCCGCACGCGACCGATGGTGCCATTTATAATCCGCACCCGGGCATTTATCATCGCGATGAATGTAATATAAGTAATATTAATGACAACAAAACGTTTTACGATTGCTCAAGATAAAGAGCGCGGAATCGTGCCTTGCTCGTGGCCGCCGCGTCTTTCTCCCCAGTTCGTTTGAATGCAAATGCAGCACGTCGGGCTGCAACACCCTGTGTGTATCTCGGAATCGCGGCGGTGAGCGGTGTGCAACATTGTGACTGCATAAATCTAATGGAGGTTCGGGGTCATCACGTCGGGATTTCACCCGGACTTTGTATATGAAATTGCGCTACCGCGTACGGCAGCTCGTACGATGGCACGCGGTAATACGCGAGCTCTCGCGAGGGGTAGGAGGGGTAAGGAGAGGGGGTTTCTCTCTTGCGGCGGTCTCGTAATTCGTTTCATTATCCGTCCTTAACGGTGCCGTCGCACCGACAGAAAAGAAGTCGCGATTCCAAGCGGCCGCGTGCGCGCGGAACGCGCGTATCCCCGCACGAGAGACGACTTGCCACCTCGTCCGGTAATTGGACGGTCGGTTGGGGATAACCGCGGTTTACAAGAATAACGCGGCAATTTAGCCGGCCGCTTAAGTCGCAGAGCTCTCGCAGCTCGCTCGCTCGCGAGAGACGATTCCGTCCGTTAATCAGCGCCAGGTGTCGCGAAATGCCGCCTCTCCTCGAACGCGGCACCTGCTTGTAAATGCCCACGTCTATACTCCAATAATTATTTATCAACGTCGCATAGCGAGAGCACGGCAAGTCGGCAGCGCGTCCCGACCGCTCTGGCATTCGTGTTCGGGCGGGTTTTATTATTCATCGATGTCGCGGCGATCACGGCATGACTTAGATATCCTCTCATTTCCATCCACATATTTCCTACATTGTAACGTCGCGCGCGAGCTAAAACGAGCTCATGTGAATACCAATATATTTCTGTAATTAAATTCAATCGCCATGCCACGCGACCGTAATCCGCGATATATCATTCGCGACGGCAAAGGCGGTGACTTTTCTCCGCCAGCCAGTCGCGTCATCGCTCGTATCGTACACGTCGTAAATTGAATTCGCTTTGGTGTTCGCCTCTGAAATTCAACTTTATATCGCTATTGCGTCAGTTTTAATTTCTGTTTCGAAATGGCGCGTTCCGAGTTGTAACACAACTCGGAGCCCACAACGCGTTATCCGTACCGATGTCGCGAGATATTGCTTCATCGAGTCGTCGTGTCGCGAGGGAAGCACCAACAAAAAGTCGATTCTCGAGGAACGTGACTTCGTAACATAGCTCGGCGGCACGACGAGAATCGCGAACGCGGTCTGCTCCGAGACTTTATCCGCCTTTGAGCCCGGAGACCGAGACTCCGACCGGGCGAAAGGCCCCTAACAAATGTCGCACGTCAGGATAATTGCGCGCGGAATTCGTTGCTCCCACAACGTGCTGTCTTGACGCCGCGGGAAGACGACGAGCGACGCAATCTGGCCACGATTTCTCGGCCGCAGCTCGGTCGACATCAACGAAGTGGACGGAAGCGCAGCGGCTCCACGCTTCGCGCGTTTATCATACGAGTGTGCACGCGCTTGTATACGTGCGTGTATGTGGGAGAGCCATCACCTCCCTCACCGCGGGATGTCTAGCCGGACAGAATGCGACGAATCGAGTGTGACGATTGCCCCCCTCTCTCTCCTCCCCCCCCCGAGGTATTTTTACACCTACGCTCGCTCTTTCCAGGAATCCATCGATCCCCAATCCTCCACACCTCGCACCGTCTAATCACCGTGACTTCGCGAGCGTACTTTCTTCTTCTAAGACAATGCCGGGGCTTCCCGGTGCGCGTACGCGCGTCCGCGATTTTACTCGTCTACTTCTTGTCGTCTACTTCTTCCTCGGAAAGTCGTTAGACGTTACGAGAGGAACGCGAGGACCGCGCTCGTAAGAAAGTCCAAGCTCCTCCGATCGTTACAGATTTTGCGCCTTGTACGATCACAACTCATACAACATTAATGTTCAAAAAAACATTCTAGAAACGTCCTAGAGATATTTCGAACATCAATAAACGTCTCGGGAATGTCGTTTGAACGTTTGTGCTATTATTTTGACAAATCCTCGCCCGATTTCCATCTCAATTCTGGTTATCTTATATATTTATCTACATTATATTACATCACGTGTGTCAAACGATAAAAAATAAGATTTTATCTTTATAATTTATTTAACTATTATTTAACTATCCACGATAATATCGTGATTTCTCAAACGTTTATGTGACTCGAGAAATATTGGTGCGTCGACATTTCAATTAAGGAAAAATCGAGACCGCTTATCTGTCCAGTATCTGTCGTTAAAATTGAAAGACACTTTTAATACATCCTGTGTGGAAATTCCATAATTTTTTTCAGCTTAACCGTAGGGTTAATTGCTGCCTGTAAAGATCAAAAGACCTAAGGCTACGACAATGATCTTAGGAGTGTCACGGTTCGAGGACATGGCACGATTGCGCTTTGAAATATACCCGGAGGACGCTTATTAAATGGCAATGGAGTCCGCATGTGGAAAGACACAACCCTCGCGACACGGCATCGTTCGATCGACCAATAGACTCGTTGATAGACACATTGTACACCGCGTATCACGATGATTGCGATTGGCCGATCGGGACACTTTATTTCTGCTTTCCGCAACCGGACAGTCGCGAACGTGTTATTCGCTTTGCATACTTGACCGACGGCGCCCGACGCGGTTCATTATCCATCGTAAACGCGTTTTTTCCATCGTGGATCGCCATTTTGGATTAATTATCAGCCGACTGGGCGCGCGTCACATTAACGTTTTCCCCCGTGGCGCAATATACAAATTATTTGATCGACCAATCACTGAACGCTCGCTCGCGAGCACTACGATCGCATGAATATTACGAGCGTAATAAATAATTGTTCTCGGAATGGAGAGAGATCGAGACGCGTTGACAATTTTATTATCATAATTTGTCCCACTCGCGAGCATCTATCAGCGTGTGACGGTGTGGCAACCAGGTTTTAATTACTGCCACGCGGAGATATAATCTTTCCGCTTACGCCGCTTACGCTTTAGAAAGCAAGTGTTATTCACAGTTACTCATTAGCCGCGTAATTTTTCGTGTACTTGTCGGATGCGAGCGTTCCTATAATAACGTCATTTAATTGTTGCTTTTTCAGAGGGCGATATCCTAACTCAATTATGATAAGCGATCATGATTCACGTTTTTAATCATACGTTATATGTCTTCTTCGCATGCTATGTTACTTCTTATCAATATTTTTATCTCTTAATCCGTGTATACCTTTTTCGAACACTAAAGTATATTATTAGGATTTTACAGCATCCTAATATCGAGACATCCACGATAATTCTAATATTTCCGAGCAATTTTTCTCAACTTTGTTTAAAAGCAAATTCGATGCAACAAATTCGATTTATCTATTATCGAAATGTATGGCTTTTCTTTGGTGAAATATCTAATGACACTACGCCGGATTTTGCATCTCGGAGCACGCACGAAGAAACGGCGGGTTAGTCGAAATGATCTCTCTCTTTCTTCTCCCTCCTCCTCTTTCTCCATCCATTCGCTCATTCTCACGTGTCAGAGTTTCGGTTCGCGACGGAAGGGTGAATTAACGGGCCAATGAGAACGGGCACAGTTAATAAACCGGACATATTAAACGATTATATTAACGCAACCGTCGCCGGAGATTAATGCACTTGCGGCTTTCGAACATCTCACTCCTCGCGAGCGCGCACCGAGCACGGGGGAAGGTAGGAGCCGAGACAAGAAATATGATCTACACGGTGTGGGCATCACTGCACCGCGGTAGCTTTAACATAATTACCAACGTATGATTTTTGCGTATCGAAAGGCTATAGGCGTTCGAGCGACTTAAGTCGGTAGACTCAAAAAAGGGGGCGCTTAATAAAGCGAGCATTCTTAATATCATTTTAATCAGGGCGAAACGCATCGCGGAGACAGTTATGATAAACGTTATACAAAATTATGAATAATTATGAATCGTTTGATAGTCGTAACGTGGGCGAACTCTGTACCGTTATATATAAATATTCGTTAATTTAAAGAAATGAAACATGTATGATAATGGGCCATTTTTATTATTTGAACTAAGCTTTTTTTAGAAAAATTTATTTAAATTTTTTTTTACAGCGTTTATTATATTATTAGTATACTTTTTTATTATATTTAAAATTATATTATATCATTTGATATAAATAATCGTTATTTAGCTTATTCAGCATCATCATGTCATTCATAGAGAGTTCCTGATTACAATATCTTTTTTTAGATATAATTTTTATTCCGTTGTGCCAAATTTCATTATTCAATTGGATTCGCTCCTTTTCTTTTAAATAGATATATATTTGCTGAAAGATTTACATCAAATACAAGATTCAACTTTCAAATACAAGATCGACAAGAATTAAGATAATATAAATTTATAAAATTAAGATAATAGTTTTCACAAATGAGGAATGGAAGCGATCGAAAAACTTTCGTTTTTCAACGAGGAGTTTAATGCGAAACCAAATGTTCGTGAAGCAGACGCGAAAGAAAAAGAAAGAAGAGCGGATGTTTCAAAAGAGAACGTTTGATTACACGAGAGCAGGTGGACTAGAAGAGGCGAGAACACGAAGCTACTCGGTAGCGACGTAAGTTTTCTTGGCCCACCCGCACCTACTACTCGTCTCGATGTCACGTGTTTATAAATAGTGCATCAACGTAATGCCCGGCGGCTGTAACTACAGCGAAAGATTTACGAACACCGTGCTTCGAGTAGCGGGTAGGCAATATGCGACGTTCTCGAGAGAGACGAGACGTTCCTTGAACGCGGAAAGGAATTCAGTGAGAGATGTAATAACGAGGTTGAGCGACTCACGCCTGGTTAGGCGTTACCGATGATTCCCAAAATGTTCCGTCTGGCTAAAGATCATCGGTTATATTACTTGGGACTATCACGTTTGCAACAAAAGATTTCACTATGTATTATTTTTTTAATTTTCTTCGTTTGCGAAAACTATTGTTTCAGTTTTTATAAAATAATTCTTTTGTCAAATGATATGGTTTGTATTTGAGAAGAAAAGAATGGGAATTCAATCAATGTTTAAAAAAACATGTTTAAATAGTATTGTTGTAAATGTTTAAATAGTAAAATTCTAAACGTATAGAATTTCATCAAAGGCGGTCACATTTTCTTATTTCACTCTTTTCTTATGCTATATTCGTGACTATATTCGTGATAATTATTTTGAGCGAAATAAATTTTAAATATATCTAGTTTAAAAAAGTTTGTTTGATAAAACTTTAACATTTTTACGAAAGGCATTCTAATTTATTGAAGAATTTCATAATTGAAAACGTGTTGAGAATCACATAATATAAGATGGAAATTTAAAAGTGTGACGCAACCAACCGAATATGGTATATCCATGTTACACCTGTATAGATCCCAGCGGCATAATCGTAAAGGTGGCTTAAGTGGATTCGACATGAACGACATTGGAATCCCGAGAGTCTCAAAAGTCGTAAAGGTATCTTCGACAACGTAATTCGACACATATTTCACGGACCATGGCTTTCTCGGATGCGTGCTAGCTATTTCGGCTATTTGCGACGCTCGCTTGTGTCCCTCGTGACGTGCTCCCGCGTGTCCAACATCGCCCTATTCCGTAACGCGAGCAAAGCGTTCGTGATTTCAGTCGAAATCCACGTTCGTGGTCTAGTCATCATCGTCGGAATTCGTAGCCCCGACGACCGATCGTCTCCAATTAGTCGCGCGCTTACAAATCGCGTGGTTTGAAGATAATTAATAATACGGAAAAAGGTCGTTGTCGTTCCCGACAATGCAGAACGAATTGCGACCAACGATAGTCTAAATTTAGTGCGTTTGCATGCCCTCGGTGACGTAGAAGATCGCACAGAGTATTGACTGTAGTCGAGAATATCACCAAAATTGTAAAATGCAGGTAAATTTTTTTTAGCTTTCTGAGCATATCAAGATAGATGAAGTATAGGAAAAGGAAAGTACAAGTTACTAATATAATAATTAATTTAACGGGAAAAGATTACAATTTTTTTATAAAAATGGTACTGTTGATAATTTATTTTCACCCATTTTTAGAATGAGATAAATAATATTGATATATTTATTAGCGAATAATAATTAATTTAAGAGGAAGAAATTATAATTTTGTTATAAAAATGACACCGTTGTTAACTTATTTCACACATTTTTAGAATTAAAAATAAATAATATTGAAATATTATAGCGAGTAAAGTAAAAAATCATCTTGGGCTATACAACGATTGATTTTACGATGTATCAAAGTGTACAAAGATGCGTTTATTTCGGGTATATGTTACATTCATGATGTAATGTCTACACGACATCATATTTGTTACATGTGTGTCTCACAGCACTATTAGATGAAATTGATTTAAGAGGAAACGCATATATTTCCTCTTGCAAGGCGATTAATCGCCTATTTTAACGATCTTCGGAAAGTTACTCGGTGCGACGTGAACAGACTTAATTTTGACATACGGACGCGAAAGATTTGTATAGTGCAAAATCGCACAGACGTAACAGTCGAGCGAGTCATACCGAACTTAGAAGGACGATGCATCGGAACTGAGAAATGTGGCATGAGGTGCATGTTAACATACACGATTCTCTCTTGGTGGGTTATATACGACATTTGTTACATTAATGGAATCCCTGCGACTAGGTACACAATGCACGAGGAAATAATGGAATTCATCAATTGGTACATGCCTTGGATCCAATTCCGGACAAATTTAACATTCATGTTATCGATTATTATTTCCGATTGCTCTAAAACGTGTCATTATGAAGATTTATGTACAATCTTGTAAGTTACAATCTTTTCGTTAATCATATATATACAAATAAATTTTTAAAATAATTTTTCTTTAGTAAAATTTTTACAGAGATTACTACTCGTTGCAATCTTTTTCGACATTAAATATTTTTATCTTAAAATCGTGATAAGAAATTGAAATCTTGAATATTTAATATCATAATAGCATCTGTCAAGTTTTCTAATTAAAATACTTATTTTTCAGTTAGTTCGATATTACGATAGATAAAATAAAGAATCATCAGTAAGTCTGAGATATTTTGCATAATATTTAATGTAAATATCTCGTCTCTTCTTTGCAAAATTACGATGATTTTCCATCGAGAAAAGTAGAACGCATGTAATAGACTCAAGCTTAAATCAAAGAGAGAAGGTTAAAAGTACTTGACTGTCCGATAATCTCGCAATCCATTTTACTTATGATCGATGAGACGCTCTAACTCGGCGAAACGCTATTTCTTGCGATGAGGGCGACTGAAGAGCCGCTTAAAGCGGACGCGACGATCTCCTTCCTAGTAGTCACTAAATCACGCGATTCTAAGCTCACAGATGCGAGTTTATAAATGTATCTCCCACGCCCTCCACTGTCTGGCCAGGTTTCTCTTTTTGTACCTTTTCCAACACCCGCTTGCGACTCGCGATTTTCGCTTTCTCGATTCTCTGTACTAGTGCGAATGTTTAGGAAGAGAAGAGAATGCTTAGAGAAGATTGATCTGCTTTTTCTTGAATATCGTGACATTTGCATCATCAGAGAAATCATCACGTTTTCCTGAAAAAAAATATTTATTTAAATTTTGTACGAATCTTAAAAAATATTTTATATAAAAAAGGAAATTATTTTATTAAATTATATTCACAGGAGAGATATGGAATTGAAATTAACATTTTTATTATCTTTAATACTGCAACGATATTTTGAGTTTCTTGTTTTACAATTATAAAGATGCTTATTTTTATATAAAATAAAAAAGTTTTTTAAACTTTATTTTTTTAATATAGTAATACTATAGTAATACTTATATTTATTAATATTATATCAGATCCAAAGTATAATATAATATTAAATGTTAAATATAATATAACATTTCCAACAATTTTAAAAAAATCCGAAATATCCATATTAATATCTATAAATATATATAATAATTATATTTATAAGTAAATGTTAATATAAATAATAAAAACAGTAATAATGATACATAAATACATATAAATATAAAGTACAAATACATATATTTCACATTAGAACAATTTCAACATCTAGATAGTTTCATAAACTTCTACAATCTGTATCAAACAAGTGATTGTGCAACGTCAAATTTAAGACGTAATAAAAGATTTAAAGTTACTTTAATTTGACGCGCGCCGTCTCTCCGCTCCAAAGAAAATTAGAATACGCAGTCAAGAGCGATGTCATTAATGAAATGATAATCGATGTGTTAAAGGGGAATAATCACCAGCGGTGTGGTTATCATAGCTGCGCATACTCTGCCATCAGTGGAAAAGATCCACCACGTTAAAAGATGACAACCGGCTCTCGAGCCTGTAAATGTTCAGGCAATCAGTTAATGACATTTATGACAGCCGACTCTTAAGGGGTATCAAAAAGGTTCGTTATCTCCGTTGCGTCAAGAGCACCAAAGTGGCTCGCGGAAAACGTCCCCCCGAGAGTTCATAACGAATTAACGACAGAGAAAAGAACGAGTTCGTAAGAGTCCGTAAGAATCCGTAAGAGAAAGAGCCCGGTTTTTTACAGCCATCTAGCGTTTATCCATCGTTTTCCATTAATTATCGTTTTATCAATTTTAATTGCATGCGTGGGAACAAGAGTCGTCGCATCGGCGAAGCCAGTATTCTGAATTTTTTCGTAGCTGCACGATCCTTTTGTGAAAAATACAAGCGTAATACAAGATCCACTCGATTTCCGTAAAATTGTATAAAATTATAACTATTTTTTTGTGCGTTTCTTCCATTTCTTAATCCCAAGCTCAATTTTAAGTGTTAATGTATATTTTTTTAGATAATTAATTTGCTATTTGAGATTCGAATGTAAGGGCAAATTTTATAATATTTCTTTCGGAAGATCCGGAAGAATCTGTCCTTTTATTTCGTCGTTTTTCAATTCCGCATCAACCGATTGACTTCGTTCCAAGCATGGGGACGCCGTTCCGGCCCGAAATCTTTCCGGCTCGTCGACTTTAATTGACCAGGGGGGGGTGGCCGACACTGCTGGACATTCACTCGGAATCGTGCAACAAGGAGCGAAGCTGTTCGCGACGCGCGACGTGCGTGTGAAAATAGACGCTCAATGCCTCATAGTGCAGACGGTAGACGGCGGCTGCCAACGCGACAACCGGCGATGCCCGCGCGATGCTTGACTGTTATGAGCAGCTATAATAACAGCGACCAGTTGCCGCAAGGAGAAACTCTCATTAATGGTACACACGCGAGACTATGAATCGTGGACATGGTGGAGGCTCTCTCTGCCACTCTGAACGGGCTGAGCTCCCGCATGGCGGCCCATAAACGCGGATGAATGTACTCGCGCGTGTCTCTCCCGCGCGAGGACTCGTCGTCGCCCTCGTATCGCGATGCCGTGACAATAATAGCCGGTGCGAATGGTCGACACGGCGGCTTCTCGCGCGCGACCACGAGAAACGATCTTACCAAATTGTCTCGAAAATCGCAATAAATCAACACGAGGTAGCCTCCAACTAACAAAAGCTGCGATATCATTAATACCGATGTCACGTGCGCTTACATAAATATTTCGTGCAAATGAGGGGATAATAATTCTTCTATTGTGTGTGAAAAGTTGCGTTTAGTAAATACTGCAACGCAGCGACGCATAAAATATTATAATAGATATTTAAAATTGCACTTCTTGCGATGTATGTATATTTTTTTAAATGTCAATTTTATATAATAAACGTTAAAACGTAAAAACGTAAAAATTTTGTTTGTTAAAATTCTGGAACTTGTTTATTTATTACTCACTTGCAAGTTTATTTATTTAAATAGGATATTGTCAATAATTGATAAAAGATAAAAGATCTTATGAATTCATATTTTGTTCTAGTCTGTGAGAGATGCCAAAATGATGCAACGTTTCTCAAAAATGATTCGAAACAGTGATCGAGTTCGGAAACTCCGTCAGAGTTATGAACAACGTAAGAGATCACTAATGGCCCAGAATGGTAGTCGCAACAGCTTCTTTATCGATATAAACAACCTCTAGACTTACTGTGGACGCAGTATACTGTGCCAAAGTGCCGTCGTATTTTTGGAACGCACTCAGCGTCATGGCGTCTCACGTCAGCACGCCCTCGCTTGAGCCACTAACGTCTAGGTGTTAGCAAAAAGTGCCAACAGACAGAATCTGTCCCTATCTAAACTCTGTTTCGTATGAGGATATAAAAAAAGAATCAAATACACACATCGCGTCTATCGCTTAATTCACATACAGAGATTCGCGTAAAGATTTCTATTTTCAACTTAAAAATTTTCAATAATTATTCAAGCGATCAGCTGACATCTTCATCGTAAATCTTATAAAAGGTCGTTTCTTTTTTTTTTTTTTTTTTGTATTTTGTTCCAATTGCTGACAGATATTTTCCTTTTATAATTTTGCACGTTATATATAAATTATATTTAAGAAGAGTTGAAAATGTTCTTTAAGCTTCGAGCATGTGTCTTGTCCGCATCGTTCTCACTTCTTTTATAACGGCGTATCCAATACGGCGTTAATTGGTTCCCGAAGTCGCAGACGCGATCCCGCTACCGCGGGAAACCAATATAACGTTTACGAGTGCACATAAGAGACGGTCATAAATCAAACGCTTGAAAACGAATGAAAGGATAGGGATCGGGCCGGTTTGCAACATGTGATACATCAAGGCGCGGCATGCCGCATAAATCGTGTTTATATCGTGCCAAAAATCAATGTTTGACAAGCGATTTTTTTTCAACTTCTTTGGCTTCGCAGTGGCGCTACCATGTGCGCAAAACTCGGTTGACAAAACGAGTATGCGACGTCGAAATAAAATGTGAGACCGATTAAGATGTGGAATTTGTCACCAATGTTGCGTGAAGCCGGGCCGCTTAATACACATAAATATAATTTATTGAATTGGAGAGAGCCGCTTTGTCACTCTGTCATAACCCACTTTCAAAAATTAAAAACTAATTTTAAATAAAATGAAGAATGATTAAATGGTAATTTAAAATTTTGTTTAATTAATTTAAACTGAATGAAAAAAATAATTAAAATAATTAAAATATTTGAAGCATTTAAATGGCTGACACGTTGTGTGTTTTAATAATAGAAACAGGAGCAATTTTAAGTTTGATAAATTAATTATTTGCAGTTAGCGAGTAATTTAATCCGTTTAAAGAGAAATCGAGAAAAAAAATCTCGAAATAAGAAGATAAATACTTATGTTATTTATTACATCTTCAATTCTAGATTTTATGACAGAGAGGTAATTTTCATTTGCAAAAAACGGCGCAGCTGATGAACGGAAACATTCTGAAGTGAAAAGGTATCTTTATTTTAATACCTTGATGGTACTATATAAAGATATGGTAGAGATGATAAAGATATTATAGCCATAAAAAGGTTTACCTAATTAATAATATAATATATAAAGATACAGAAAAACCATTTGAATTTTCTTTTCCGATTTTATATCGTTGGTCGCGCGACAGTCTTTGGCTAATTAAGTCACGTGAGGCTCAATCTGTTCTACTTTTACGCGTTCTACGCGTTTTATATGGTAATTTCCCATTGCGCACATTTTAATGCCGTTGTTCTTACGCGACATAAATTCTAAAAAAGAAGAGAGATTAAAATATTGAAAAGATGTCTATTATTGGAAAAAGACATGGCGCGCCATGCGAAATAAAGGCATGGTCACTCGTTCGCTTATGTTGGACCGCGACCAACTTAATAACGTAAATGTATCTAACGCGTATTCATTCCGTGATAACTATTTCTTCTCTAATAATTCTTTAATGGTTGACGTCTAATGATGTTCGGACTAATGTATATTATTGAGCACAAGGAGACTGTATTTAATCCATCGATGCCGGGTCGAAAATCCCGTCAACCGATTATAATCCCATTATGAACAGCCACTTCGTGAGTTTCCTTATATCTTATAATTATAATGTATTTGATCGTTGTTTTAACGCGCATTTGTCAACTTCCAACGGTCACTGTTGCTTTTCAGTGTGTCGCGATTGTGTGTCGCCTAGGACATTTTTCTGATCGAACTGTGTAGCCTCGCTTGGAACAGGTTCCACTGTTCGATTTTTTTGTGTTCTTTTTTTTATTATATAGAGTTTGATACTTTGTACACGTCCACGGGAGCATTGCTTAATCACGACGATCGTCGATGACCCGTGACTATTTAAAAGCATAAATTCTATTTCATTTGGCATCGTTTGTTTCTGTCGGATGATTAACCCAAATCGGTTTGAAGAAAATTGTCGGTAATATTTAGGGACTATAAACGACGTCTGACTTCCAGGTTAATATACTCGAACTCATTTTTTGCTCGGCAAATCGAATTTTAAACGCCACTCGCAACTACGTTCGCGCGGATCTGACAAAGTAATAGCGCTAAAAAAGAAAGGCAGAACGAAGAGCACGTCCAATTTGCAGATGTTATTCTTAGCCATAATTTTGCAGATTAGCCTAAATTTAATCGCGGCGTAACGATCCGCTGATTAAACAAGACAAAGTCCTGCATAATTTACTGTTTCGTC